AATTTTCAGAACACGTTTTGCTCACTTTTTTTGTTTGTTAATACATAACTGTTTGAGAACCTCTGTCAAATTTCGGGTTTAACTTCCACAGGCGGAGTTATGTATTTTCTCTTTCGCACCTCGGCTTAAGTTAAAATGAGATAGCGCTTTGTTATTCTTGTTTCTCACAGAATAACGCGAAGTACCGGTGGTGGAAAATAGAGAGAATGAGTTTTACGATATCATGGAAAAATTAAAACAGACGGACTGTATGCATGTTAATAGTTGTAGAGTTAGGAGTTTGCAACGCGTTCGACGTCGGCGGACTACCTTTTACTTTACCTAAAGTTTTATAGTATTGGTTTTCTACCGAGGTACATTCCTTATCAGTTTCTGGTTCCCAATACGATTCATTATGTTCTGCGTCTACTACTTGAAGTGTCTCTATTTGATTTTGAATATTATTTTACTCTCTCAACCTTTCTGTGAAATCTAACAACCTTGCATCTAATTCCGGTACACAAGTCCTCTTTGACATTATTTTGTACACGTGTTATAGCAGACTTGATTATTTTACGCTGATTTTTTAACCTCGTAACGTCGGTCATTTTCGCAGACTACAGGCGCGCAACGACGAAGGAGAAACTTAAGCACAGGGCGATAGAAATTTAGAACTGCATGATTTGGAAGGATAGAAAAAGGAATGATCTGACCTTAGGATGATTTGATATGCTGCAACCTCTCAATGATGATTCATGTCTGGGATAGTTCGGATATTCGGCTCGAATTGACCAAAAATGATTAAGAATTATTAGTTAACTTCGAAGGACCAAAAGTAATTAAATTGCAATCGTCTTGTTTGGGATTTATTCTAGAACTAATTTACAAAAATGGTATGTACCGGTACCGACTAAATGGAGGGGCGGGGGACAGACCCCCACCTCTCACAACCCCAGGTACCTGCTTACAATATTTTGTACATGGATATATTGACGCTATTGTTGTTTTAGAACTTCTAGCAAATTCAGTTGATGTCTAAATTCAGTATTATTTTTACTTCCCAAGCGTAAACTAAGGCCGTGTTGTACGAACCGTATTATGTAAAAAAATTGGTCACTCGTTTACATCTTTCTGTCGTCTGTCTCGATTTTTATGAATTATGAGTTAATTTCCGAAACTACTGGACGTGTTATCAACTGTGATATGTATGTTAGGAATATCGCGTAGATGGTAAAACGCTGACCAAAATTTGTCTAATCATTCCCGCCAACAATGTGATGACATCCTCCCAAAATTGTTCATTGTAAGTAGGATTTAAATTTTATAAAGTAACATCCTTCTGTACTTGTTTGTGAATCATCGTTGAGATTTTCTCCGATGCATCCATATTTTGGCACAAAATTTTTTATATTAGTATAAACAGAGTTCCAACAAGGTTATTCGTTAGCTTATCGTGTAAAGTGTTAGCCTTCGGACTTGTAACCAGTGTGGCATGGGTTTTTTCTTTCTTACACTGTTACTGCTGTTATCTATATTTTTTTATTGCTTAAATCTCAGAAACATTACACACTTTGTTTCATTACTGGCGTCACACTGCACGCGTCGGAATTGACATACATGTCCTTGCTGAAATAATGTTAATCAGAACATTTTCAAATGGGAAAAGTAACTAGAAATAAAGGAATAGCCTTGCCCTCTCTTTATCAATGTATTTATATTTGTGAAACAATTGTTATTCCGTTTCCTATTACGGAGGGAGAAGTGTACAAGTTAAGAAAATGTGTTTTCGTAAGATTACTCATTCGAATCCATAGGCAGTGGCGAAATATGGGTGATTGAAGTATGTAATCTTTATTGTGTCAAAAAAAAACAAGTTTTCACACTCGTCAAAACACCAAAAAAATCCAAAAGAATAGAAATACATTGTGTACAAAATACCTACATAATGTACAACATACTTATACGTTATGTACAAAAATTTACAAAATGCTAAAAAATATAATCCAAGTATTCGTTGAAACTGTAAAAGCTATTTCTAATTAAAAAAGACTTAACTAACTTTAGACATTGACTGTGTGGAAGATGACGGTAACTATTAGGCAATTTATTAAAAAATATTATGCAGAAATAGTTTGTGGCATTTCTACAACGAGAAATCCTAAATTTTTCAACTGAGAGATTAGTGGTCCTTGTATTAAGTATCTCATGAAAAGAATTTAATTTGAGTTAATGTTGTGTATTACATATTTAAGGCAATAATAAATATACATATAGACAAGGTAAAGTCAAAATGTTTAGAGATTTAAATTAGGACCTGCAATCATCTCGATATCCAATACTGCTCTCCGTTGAAGCCTAAAAAGATTGTTAAGTGATGAGAATCCCATATCCCAAGTGAGACTGTACTAGGGCATGAAACGCAACTTTTAATACATCACTATCGACAAAATTGGATAGATTTCTTAATAAATGCGTATTTTTTAAGATTTTAGTGACTATGTAGTTTATGTGTTCATACCATAGTAATTTTGTATCTAAAGTAATACCGAGGAACTTTGTGATATTTTCAGTATTTAGAAATATGTTATTTCTTTTCAGAGAAAAAACCATATTAACCGATTTTTTTTATTGACGCAAAGTTTATTAGCTAAAAACCAGGGTTCTGCATGGGAATGTATATTAAGAAAAGAAGGTGTCACTAATTCAGTGGCTGATACACATTTACCAATAGTGGTTCATCTGCATATTGAACTACAGAATAATTATGAGAAAAAAATGTGGCAGATCATTTACGTAAATTAAAAAAAGTAATGGCCCCAGTATTGAGCCCTGAGGTACTCCATATGTAATTTCCTTTTGATCAGAAGATACACCGTCTATAGTAACTATTTGAATTCTATTGGAGAGGTAGGACAGTATTAGCCTGATGGCAACTGGCTTGAAATTATAAAAAAAAAAGAGTTTCCTTATTAAAATCTCATGGGACATACAGTCGAATGCCTTACTGAGGTCTAAAAATGTAGTTAGAAAATAATCACCATTTTGAAATGCTTGTATAACATAGTCGATTAAAGAAAGAACAGCCTTTTCGGTGGATAAAGATTTACGGAATCCAAACTGATTGTTCGAAAACAAATATTTAAGGATTTGTTCAACCATTAATCTTTCGAAAACTTTGGATAAGACGGGAAGCAGCGAGATAGGTCTGTAGTTCTTGAGATCGTTGACATTACCATTTTTATGTAATGGAATCTTCAGACAATTCGGAAAAACAGAGCTAGTAAGTAATACATTTATTAATTAACTTAGTCAACGGTGGGATAAGTATGTCCTTAACTGATGTGATAACTTTAATATTTAAACCATAAATATCACTACTATGTTTGTTTTTTAATTTACTTATTTCATCACGAACCTGCACCTCACTGACTGTCTGAAATGAAAAAAATGTGTTTGATTTTTTATCAAATGATGACATAACTCTGACAGGATCTAGATTTGAAGTAGACAAGGAGCTTACAATATCGGTGGCAATATTAGTAAAATATCCATTGAAATCGTTTGGTAATATTCTTGTAGTGTCCTGAACTGTTCGTTTTTATTTCTATTTATCAACGACCACATAGGTTTCGAGTTGATACAATGGTTTTTAATAAAAGCATTATTAGCAGTGATCTTGGCTTGTTTGATAGCTTGTTCATATTTATATTTGTAATCATTGTACATTTTTTTCAGATGCAAAGTTCCATATAATTTGTATGAGTCCTACAATAAATGACGAGTTTGTCGCATTTTTTTTAGATCAGATGTGAACCAAATTATATTGTGAACTTTGGACCTATTACACACTATTCTTTTTTTAGGAAACGCAGCATTGAAATTTGTTAATATAGTTTCTAGAAATATAGAAAATATAACACATGGGTTACAATCGTAGTTAATAAAACTCCAATCAACTAGATACAAAAAATTATAGAACAGAATTTTCCCATACTGTGAAATAGGACGTAATTTTTGAAATGAGAGAATTGTCATATGCTGGTTTACTTAACCGTAATTTAACCAAGATTCCTGTGTGATCAGATCTTGGAATACTAAGGGGCGTAACACCCACAGAATTTTTATTTACATTAGCAAATACATTATCTAAAGTATTATTATTATGTGTTTTAAATGAGGCAAAGGGAAGAAAAGCATAGCTAAATAAAAGAGCACAGAAATATTTCGATTTTGTATCATTAGTACCAAAAAGCAAATTGAAATCCCCCCTATTATGACAGATTTAAACTTCTACTCAACTACATCAAAGAGCTTGATTATAGTATCTATAAAATTATTGAAGTCACCCTTTGGTGAATGATATACTGTTATTAATATTAAATCAAACTCTCTTATAAATACAGCACTCAGCTCACAATCAATTTCAATCGACAGAGAACTTATGTTTTCTAAACTAGTACACAATAGATCTCGATTTAAGAGGGTCATCACACCTCCATGTTGGTAACGTGACCTAGAAAAATGGGATTTGACATTATAATCATCCAAGGACAGAATACTGGATTGTTCCAATTTTAACCAATGCTCTACATCTCTATGGTATATTAAGGAATTCAGGACAACAAACTCTTCAAGAATCTCAATGTAATATATATATATATTCAATTTCATATTTGATAAATTGAGAAATTGTTACTTTTTATTAATTTTTAGCTGATTGTATACCTGTGTGCGAGTATCTGCAATATTTTTTAAATATTATTATAGTTATTAAAATGCAGTTCAATACTACATCCTAATAAGTAATAACTTTTGTATTGAAGGAATTGTTCATTTAATTAACTTCTGGCTGCTTAGTACAAGACGAAATGTTTTCACGAATTTTTTTAATTATAAAAAAAAAGATGGTCATAGCTCTCTGAAAAACGATTGTATATAGGGTTCGATATTGTTTGCAATATCCAGTTTTATTACAATCGAAGGTTGTGTATATTTTTTTACCACGTTGATTTAAATTTTAGCAAATATGAGCCTGCCGCAGAAGGGAGATTGGCTTGACGAAGTAGTCTATATGGGTGTCGGAGAAGAAGAAGCTAAAGTCTTGGTTCAGAAATATAATAGTCAAGCTCGTGAATCCATAGGCATACAGAGAAGATTTGGTCATAGAGATGATCGTCATAGATGGCAAAACAGGCGTAAGTACGAATGACATTATAAAATAATAAATTTATTTGTGATTTGTGAGATCGCAATTCAACTTGAAATTGACGTCTCTTACAATAATTATAATTGCTGTGGAAGATGCGATGACAGTAGTTGCGATTCCCTATCTCAAGTACTGTTCTCGCATCTTCCTTAACAACGGCGACTTGCGATATCGTTCGATAGTATATATAGGCATGTCAACAGAAAGGAGAAATGTTGATAGCATTTTAACAAAAGAAAACCTAACATATACACATCAGAACCAAATTCTGCAAACATATCCCGAAATTTAAAAACACCGCCACTAAAAATGACTAACAGACAATACACAACTAATTCGGGATTGCAAGAAGCAGGCTTAACGAATGTGTTGTATACAAAATTTTCTGCAACGAATAAACTTTTAAAATGAAAAGATTAACTTTGAGTTATTTACAAACAACGACATTGACAGTGCCGCAAACACGTTACAATGTTGACGTTTCTAGGCTACTTTAAGGATACAACACGAAGTAAAAAGTACGCTGCTGAGTGCTTGACTATGAAATAAGAAAATTAAAGTGTGCCTGGTATCTTTAGTCAGATGTGTTTTGTCCATGTCAGTATTTTAATGTTATAATAATAATAATACTTTATTAGCTATGAGACACAAATCCTTCATTAGTTTTGTCAAAATTCTAAATTAATATAATACACATAAATGCACAAAAGATAAAATTTACAATACAAACAATAGATTGGAGAATAATATACATATTTGTATACTAAAGACAAACATTTAGTGCATTTAGAGCTTCACACCAATTTAACTCGCATTATAATTCAATAGACCGTCACAGCTGGATGTCTTAAACCCACTAACTGATACCTATCTAAAAATACCTTTTCTGGTTAAAGCACAGAGCAGTAATGAATTTTGTACCCACTTTTTTTTATGTGAAATCGTCTCCTCTCGTACATACAGCGATGTATAGCATGTGAAACTTTCTTGTGTCATAAACCATCGTCAGATTTTAATCGCTAATAACAATGAGACTAAAAATGCGACAACAATGGTTGAGCCCACAACAGTGTTTCTCCTAATTCGGCCCTTTGCGTCTGGGCGGTTCTTGACACATGGCATGGTTTACATTTGCTAAATTTTATGAAGGGTCGCCTGTAATAGTTATTTGTTTAATAAGGCTGGAAAATGCAGTTTTGGAAAGGTGAGGAAATTATTGGAAGCCGAGTCGGAAGGGCGAAGCTTGCAATTTACGAGCATTTCCGAAAAAAAAATGCAGACGTGTACAACACAACTTTTTGTGTGCCGACAATTTATTATAATTATTTATTTTGACTTGTGTTTGAATTAAAAAACAAATCTTTTTAGGAAAATTTTATTATTTAGAAAATATATTGGTAGCACTGCGCGATCTTCAAAGATTCAAATTGAACAATTGAAGATTAAAAATTGAAATGTCATAATTTCATATAAACTATGAATTGTGATTTTGTGAAAGTTTTGATAAAAAATGGAACCACCTGCGCATATTAAACAAGCTGCACAAGACAGCTTATTACTTTCAAAATCTTCACAAAAATATTGGCGGGAGTATGAAATATTTCAGCGATAGTGTGAAAATAACGTGGTGCAAGAATGCTCTGAAATAAGAAATAATACGATCGTGGACAGTGAATTTCGTCCACCCAATTTCTTTGACCAAAAAAAAACTCTAAATTTGCCCTTAGATCTTTCTAACCTTTTTTTGTCATTTTGACGTAAAGGGGCAAACTAATTTACATTTGTCTTTCACATGGCCGACTAGTATAAAGATTATGGCCTGTCCAAAGGAATGCCGAAGGTACCATACGTGCTGCCATCTATTAATAATTCAAAATTGACAAAAGAATTATTAACACCTTTTGAAAGGCACAAAGGCATTCATACCCAAACAAACCACCATTACACGTTTTGAAGTCCCATAATGTCAAGTCAAATTAAAATTTTGCTAAATTATTAAGTGTAATTATTAATAGATGGCAACACGTATCGTACCTCTTGGATAGGCCATAATCTTTATACTAGTCGGCCATGGTCTTTCATAGCACTTCTGAGAAGTTGAAAAAGTAAAGTAAAATAGTTACGACACGGGCTAAATTTAGTAGCCAAATTTTCTATGAAAACTGCCAATCTGCGTAATTAAGCCTGCTCATGGCCGACTAGTATAAAGATTATGGCCTGTCCAAAGGAATGCCGAAGGTACCATACGTGCTGCCATCTATTAATAATTCAAAAACGGCAAAAGAATTATTAACACTTTTTGAAAGGCACAAAGGCATTCATACCGAAACAAACGACCATTACACGTTTTGCAGTCTCATAATGTCAAATCAAATTAAAATTTTGCTAAATTATTAAGTGTAATTATTAATAGATGGCAACACGTATGGTACCTCTTGGACAGGCCATAATCTTTATACTAGTCGGCCATGGCCTGCTATCATACCTGCTTCTCAGGTTAGAAATCAATCCAAAACCAAACAGAAAACAATAATTTCAAATTATAAAAGAAACTCAAGAAACTTTATTACATGCAGCACAGGTAGGTGTTTAGAATACAACAGTCAAAATATTCTATTTTTCTGGGACGTGTAACATAACCCTACAGAAATCTATGCCCCCCACATGTTGACAGATGTTTCGTTTTGTTGACATATTTGACGATTCCATCGTATGTTTCGTATACTTTTAACTTGCCGTTTTGGTAACTCAAAAACCCTTCAGCCTATTACACGAGATGTTGTAAAACAAACCCAGTCTCTATGGTTTCCAAGTCCTCGTTCTCTAATGCGTCTTCGGGCAGTTCTTGCTGATGATCTGGGAAAATTAGTAGTCCCTGCAGCTTCAACTGCGTTTGTAAATGGCATGTCTTCCACAACTTGAACGACCGCATGATTTTCAGCAACCCTGGTGATGCGAGGTGCCGATACATACCTGAAGGTCGATTCTCGAACTCGTTCGAATAAGTTCCGCATACGCAAGTGACCAACTTTCGAGCGGTTTTGAAGATTCGGTATTCTCGAACCGCGCGCACACGTTGGTATACGCAAATGTTCGAGCGCGTACGAACATCAAGTTACGAGTGGGTAGATGCGATCGCATTTTGGTTTGCGAGTGGTGAAAGCTAACCTAAAACTCTGTTTGGTTTTGGTCGTTCTGTGTTAACGTCAATAAAATATCTTTAATCTGCTATATCTGTTAATATACATTAATAGAAAGGGTTACCATTCCAAAAATACCCAAATTGTAATGTATCAATTTGATTGTGGGAATTTTATAATTTCATTTACAATTTTGACATTTGTGGTGCAAATTTAAAAATTTTAAATTGAAACAGCCGATTTCTGTTCATTAGTACATATAATAGCTACATATGTATGAAGAAACAACGCACTATTGCGATATTTTGGGTAATTTCTAATAATACATTAACACGTTCTTATTATGGTAGTAACAATAATTTTTAGGTTACTCTGGCTAGCCACTGCGAACATTTCAAATACGTATACGTGCAGTTGTTTCAAATTTCAGTTTTCATTTACTGTACAAAACGGTTGCAATGGCATAAGTATACCTGAATAAACATCGGGTAACCTAACCCTAAGAATTTTCTATAAACTAGGAGAGTACACGCAGTAATAAAGGTATTAATATGCAAATACCTGCTGGCTGTGGAGGTCCCACTCAAAAATAAACATTAAGTTTGTATCTGCATCATTGTAAAAAAATCACAAGAATTTGTATTAAATACGTAGGGTTGCAAATTTATTAAGCAGCAAAATACGTATTAGCAGGATTGGCTCGATTTAAATTATTGCTTTAAAGTATTATTGTTTTTTTTTTTTAGTTTTCTTTACAGTTTGGAATATGCAATGCATATTACGGCCCTTTTAATGCAAATTTATATCAAAATAAGTTGAACTTTAACTAGAACACAATATTTCCAACAAAATGGAACGATAATTTTTTTAAATTGTATTTTAAAGATTATAGGAGTGAATATTATATTAATAACACTATCAATTCCTTTTTTGCAATATAAATTACAATAAATTCTCTTTATTGCTCAAAACTAAGAAGTACGACTCAAGGATGACATTAAGTCGGATACTTACTATTTTAATTAGGATTTTAATTCCAAATAATTGACAGACTAAAAAAACATAAAAAAATCGTGATTAAAAAAAATTGTTGATTTTACGATTTTATGCAACCCTACGTATTTAATACAAATTCTTGTGATTTTTTTACAATGATGCAGATACAAACTTAATGTTTATTTTTGAGTGGGACCACCACAGCCAGCAGGTATTTGCATATTAATACCTTTATTACTGCGTGTACTCTCCTAATTTATAGAAAATTCTTAGGATTTGGTTACCCGATATTTATTCAGGTATACTTATGCATACCATTACAACCGTTTTGTACAGTAAATGATCTTTGAGAATTCATTTTAGTTTTTATTTTTGAAACAACTGCACGTATACGTATTTGAAATGTTGGCAGTGGCTAGCCAGAGTCACCTAAAAATTATTGTTACAACCATAATAAGAACGTGTTAATGTATTACTAGAAATTACCCAAAATATCGTAATAGTGCGTTGTTTCTTCATACATATGTAGCTATTATGTGTACTACACAGAAATCGGCTGTTTCAATTTAAAATTTTTAAATTTGCGTCACAAATGTCAAAATTCTAAATGAAATTATAAAATTCCCACAATCAAAATGATACATTACAATTTGTGTATTTTTGGAATGGTAACCCTTTCTATTAATGTATATTAACAGATACAGCAGATTAAAGATATTATATTGACATTAACACAGAACGACCAAAACCAAACAGAGTTTTAGGTTAGCTTTCACCACTCGCAAACCAAAATGCGATCGCATCTACCCACTCGTAACTTGACGTTCGTAGTGTCCCTGTAGAGAGAGTTCCG